GAGCATTTTTAAACACTTTTTGTTTTCCTAATTGTCAAACGCCTTCCCCCACCCATGAATTTTTTTCTAAAGGAAGCACAGCATGTTAGCTTCTTCTAGGTTTCAAAACACGATTTAACAAGAACATTAAGGAGCCAATTTTTAAAAATTCACAACAGTTATTTCATATATAAAAAGGAGCATAATAACAGTACAAATCACATGAGGGTTGCTTTGACTAAGTCAAAAGTGGAGATAAAATGGAATAACAATGAAAAATTAATTTGAGAGATAGGAAAAGAGAGAAAACATTAAAGATATGGTATGTGGGGGTGGCAATAAGTGTGAGAAAAAGCAGGAAAGCAAATACAAAGTGTCAGAATACAATTCTGATACAGAAGCCAGGGAAAGGCTCAGTTAGGTAAACTTTATATAAAGGCTTTCAGGAAATGAGGAAGTTTAATTAGATAGCGGAGGTCTAGAAATCAGAAAGGGGAGCTCCGCTCCTCACACTGGAAAACTAAGTCAGAAGAAAACCTGACTCACCTGAGATCTAACAAGTGGCTTACTGTCAGACATCTCTGTGTCCTTCTTTTGGTGTTCTGTGGTGTTTCTCTTTTCTGCAAGAACAGAGTTCTGAGCAGAGAAATCTAGAATGGAGAAGGAATGACCACAGAGTTGAGTTCAGTCTGGCAGCACCTACAGACACAGACAGTAGCCTGCCAACCCCTCACCTGCCATGGGCAGTACTTCCTATGACAAGAGAAAGACCAAAAAAATAGTTCTCAGCTCAGTGTAGCAATTCGAGAGAAGAGGTCGGGTTATCTCCCACCTCTAAATGCTTCCATTGATTTTCAGTGCCTTCCAAATAAACAAAAGTTCCCTCTTTATTTGTATCAATGATCCTAGCTTCACTGTCCATTTAGTCACCAGGGAACCTCAGTTTCTCAATTGTAACATGAAAATTATGATAATATCTCTAATTCTATGGGCTCCTGTAAGGATTAAACATTACATATGTGAAGCACAAAGCAGGTATTTAAAAAAAAATCTGACAACTCTTATTACTACATCTTTTTTACTCAGGGATCTAGAAGACAACCACACCTTCCCTTACGAAACTTGAAGTCCTTCCTTGCTTGTGGTCTCTTTCCAAGAGTACCTTTCACTATTCTTATAAAATAGTGAAGCTAGCAAGCTCTTTCCATTCTTTTGAATTTCAGCTCCATCAAAGGCTGTGCCTTTGACCAAGTTTAAAAATTCTGTGGGACAATATGCCCTATGTCCACTGGAGGCAGTATAACAGCCATGATTAATAGGACAGACTCTGGAGCCAGCCATGCAGGTCTGAACCCTGACTGCCAATTACTATTAATAACTGTGGACCACAGGCAAGTTGGACTTCCCTGGTGGCTCAGATGTAATCCCTTGGAGAAATAAATGACAACCCACTCCAGTCTTTTTGCACGGAGAATTCCACTGGCGAGGAGCCTGACAGGCTATGGGGTCAAAAAGTCAGACACAACTGAATGACTAACACTTTCACAGCTAAGTTATTCAACCTCCCTGTGCCTCTGTCTTCTCATCTGTGGAATGAGGGTGATACCTATTTCAAGAACTACTAACAGAAGTAATGCACTATTATAAAATATTTAGAATGTAGTACATTTTAAGTGTTCAACATGTTTACTATTAGCATCTTCAAAATTCTTTTAATGAATGCAGGTACACAGAACTGGACTAATCAAAATGCTTGAAACATCAGCATTCAGCCATACATGACCCTCATGTTTATTTCAAATTTACTTGTTTATACTTTTCAATGTAATCAATCCATTCCACTGGTCCACATCCCAGTCTTGTTCCCTTGCCTTTCTCTCCTTGTCTATTTATATGTATACAAACAATGCTTTGTTTTTAGTATACATTTCATTCAGCTTTGTTTTTAGTACCAATTTCATTCAAAGTGCTATTAGGAGTGAATGGTTTTCTTCTATCATCACTGAAATGCCCTTAGTTCTAATCTAGTAACTTTGAGCTTCTAAGAGACCAGTCAAATTTTGACAGAATTTAAATTTCAGGTCTCATATCTCCCATATTGCATGGCCTCTTTTTTTTTTTTACTATGTACTGTTTTGTGTTGACACTAAGGTTTAGGCTCAAACTGAAATGCGGAAGAGGGGGGAACAAAGCAGAGAGAAAGCATACTCAGAAAATAGCATTAAAAGCAAAAGCCAAACCTCAAGTTTTTTTCATTTCACATAAGATTAGGCAGATTAGACTGGAGATGATAAAATTCATTCACTCATTCATTTAACAAGTTTTTATTTAGCTCCCTCTTACATGCCAAGCATACAGCAAATGTTCAAAAAGTCCCTCCTCTTACCTTCCTCCTCACAGGCTTGGATCAAGTTTGCCACCAGGTCTCCTGCCTCCTTGCTGCTCTTGGGCTGTTTTGACCTTACCCATATCTGAACCTTCTTTGGCAAGGTATTCAGAAACTGCTCCATCACCAGCTGCTCCATCATCTGCTCTTTGGTGTGGACCTCTGGCTGCAGCCATCGCCAGCAGAGCTCCTGGATCTGACTCACAGCTTGGTGAGGCCCTGTCACTGACAGGGACTGAAAATACCGAAGGTTTTGATGAAAATCTCTTGGAGCCTCTGGGTTTCTTATGGGGGTGGTTTCTGGATTTTTTTCTTGATCATGTAGATGAACGAGCTGGGGATTCCTCGAGGTATCCAAAACCTCTTTCACGTGATGCATTTTTACAGCTTGACCCTTCAAAGGATGGAGATACTCTAAAAGGCAGGCTACTTCAGAGCACAGTTGTGGAAGGTGATGGGCTGAGTTGTATCAGATGAAGAAAAGAGCCAGAGACCTTAAGATCTGCAGAAATTACACAGAGAGACTCACAAATGGCTTGCACAGTTTAACTGGACAGTAGAGGTTATGTGAATCAAAGGAAGTTAGTTCATTTCACAGAAATGCCTAAATGAATATTCACACAGATTTGCACATCTACAGACAGGTTGTTGCCTCAGTCACAGTATCAGGTCTAGAATATCCACAGGCACAGGCTAGAAAAATCTCAGAAATTGCACTGAAGGAAAGAGACTTGAACCTCAAACCACAATGAACTGAACTAACTGATGAACCACATAAGAATATCATTTTTAAAATGAGTTAATACAAAATGAGGAAAGATTGTTACAATACATTCATCCTACAAAGGACTGGATTCATGTGCAAAACATATAAAGAAATCATACAAATCTGTAAGAAAAAGGCAGAGATCAGTTAAATATTCAAATATATTTTCTTATTTCTTTATTTAAACATTTTAATTCTTTAGCTAGAAGTTAGGCTGGAAAAAAAAAAAAACAGTTGGTCTGGGATAACATATGAGAAGACTGTAATTTTTTCTAAATACTTTTCCCCCTACCATCAATTTTAAATTTATTACTTCCTTTTTTTAGATGTATGATATCCCCACTGAACTGAATTTCTGTCTCTACAAACTGCAGCGTAAGATTCTGAGAAAGGAGTAGCAGAAATGACTGTGAAATCCTGGCAGCCAGCCTCCCTAGGCTAGCCAGGTCCCAGGCTAGAGCAGAGTCACAATCCTTTCTCCTCGCCTAGAGAGGGAAAAGTAGGGATAAAAGCAGCTAATGTTAAATACTTGGGAAAAAAAAAAAGCCAAAGAGTCCCTAAAAAACATATGAGTGGTAGTAGGTTCCTTGATTTCAGAGTAGGGAAGAAATTCCAGAGAAATGGGGATGAGTGTTGGGAGAAGGGAGTGGAGACCAAGAGATTCCAGGTGGGCAGAGGCTGTGGCAGCAGGAAGCAGGGACTGAAGGGAGCCCCCTAAAGAGAAGTGCTGAGGTGTGGGGAAAGGAGTAAAGCAAGGCCAGGCAGAACGCAGAGCTGAAGCAGAGGAGAAGCGGGGCAAGGGAAAGAGGAAGAACCAGTCTGGGCTAGGAGAGGTGTCCAGGGAGTAGGCACCCAGAAAGAAGGGGTGGGAATGAGGTAAAGGGGGAGCAGAAGGAGAGGGAGGGGGCCAGGACGGAGGGAAGCGGAGCAGGAAGGGGCAGGAAGGAAGGACCAGGGCCAAGGCAGAAGTGGGGGACAGCAGGAAGGCTGAGGGAAGGTGCGGGCTGGGAACGGAGAGGTGGGGCCAGAGCCAGGGGGAAAACACAGATGAAGGTGGGACAGAAGGTAAAGGGGGAGCTGAATGAAGAAGCGCCTCTGAGCTAGGTAAAGGGTGTGGAGCCGGGAGAGAGGCAGGGGCAGGGCAGAGGAGAGGGAGACAGGCAGGGCCATGGCTGAGGGCACTGTCTTGAGGGGAGAGGTGGGGGCCTAGGGAAAAGGGGGGTCTGAATGTGGGGGAGGCTGGAGGGAAGGGGCAGGGGGTTTGGAAAGGAACGGGGGTCTTCAAAGGGGAAGAAGGGTGGTTCCGGCGGGGGAGAGCGAGAGTGGGGTCCTAGAGGGAGGCCTGAGGGGCATCCTCGAAGGGGAGGGTGGAGGTCCTCAAGGTGGAAGCAGGGTATCCTGGGGGGAAGGGAGGGGGTACTTGAGGGGGAGAACTAGGGGATCCTCGAAACGAGGGGGCGGGAAGGGAAGGAAGGGACCCTCGAGGGGAAGGAGGGTTTTCTAAGGCAGCAGTCCTTGAGGAGACCAACAGGTGTCTCTCAAGGGGAAGGCCCGTGGGGTCCTCGAAGGGGAGGGCAGGGATCCGAAAGGAGGGGGAGGGGCCTCAAGGACCAAGGAGCGCGTTCTCGGTGTGGGGGGGAGAGCGGAGGGGCCCTAAAAAGGGACGGTCTGTGGGGTCCTGGGGTGGGGGCGGGGAGGAAGGTGTTCGACGCGGGAAGACGAGGGCGGGCGGACCCGTCCTTCCGGAAGGCCTTCAGGCCAAGGAAGCATTGGCAGGAAGCCGGGGCGTGAGCAGCAGGGAGGCCGCCGAGTCCTCCTCAGAGCCGACTTCGCCCGCGCGGCCTCCCGCACCCCTTCCCCTCAGGGCCGCTACTTCGCGCCTCCCTTCCCATAGACTGCCCCGCGAAGGGGCGCGTCCGCCCGGCGTCCTCTCAGGGACGCCCGCGCCTCCCTGCCCGCGAGCCGGCCTCTCGCCTCCAGGTCCCCTCCCTCGCGTCCGGACCCGGGCCGCCGCGCGCTCACCTCGCAGGCGGACACCCTCGCCTGACTGAACCTCTCCACCTCGGACTTGCCGCGCAAACCCGCGACGCACGCGCAACGTGCGGTCTGCGCGTGCGCACTGTGGGACAGCCGGAGCGCCGCACAGAAAGCGCAGGCCGCTTCCGGCTGGTTCCGCTGGGGGGCCCGCGAGGACCACGCTGCATAGGGAGGGCTGGGCGGGGCCGGAGGACTGCTTCCTTTAGATGCTTTACTAAATTTTTAAGTAGTTAGCACGTGGTTTAAAATTTTTAAAAAATAAACAGCATGCAGTGAAAAGCCTTCTCACTGTGTGTGTGTGCCACCGACCAAATTTTTATGCTATAAACCACGTAACAGGTGACCGGTGTTAATTATTTCAATATTTATGAATAATTATATTGAATAATTATGAAAGCTTGAACATGTTGTCAGTGTCCTTCCACAGTGTCTTTGTGTATATGTAAATAGAGATATATGTGTATATACATATGTACATTATACACACATACCTGTGGTTATCACTGACATAAATATCTACACTATAAATTCGGTATATATATCTGTAATAGATATAAATATTTTAAAATATAAAATATATTTTCTAAATAAGAAATGTGACGATATAACAATCTATAATGTGACACAATGTGGTGTATACTGTAGCTTAAAATGTGTACTTAAGTAATATAAGTACTTCCTTGATAGTAATACAAGGATTCCCTGGAAGGTCAGTTGTAAAGAATCCACCTGCAATGCAGGAGAGCTGGTTCGATTCCTGGGTCAGGAAGATCCACTGGAGAAGGGATAAGCTACCTACTCCAGTATTCCTGGGCTTCCCTTGAGGCTCAGCTGGTAAAGAATCTACCCGTAATGCAGGAGATGCTGGTTCGATCCCTGGGTAGGGAAGATCCCCTGGCGAAGAGAACGGCTACTCGCTCCAGTATTCCTGCCTGGAGAATTTCATGGACTGTAGAGTCCATGGGGTCTCAAAGAGTCAGACACGACTGACTGACTTTCACGTAAGTAATATATAATACATTTATCATGATGACACAGATTCATATTATATATAATTAAATATTTGTACAAATATAATACATATTTTTTTATGTTTGCAAAAATAGTCTCATTTCCTACCCTTTTTATACAGAAGGTGGCAGACTGTACACATTGTTCTATGCCTTAATTTTTTCCTTATCTCAGAGAGCTTTTTATATCAGTACAAAGAGAATTTGCCTACTGTTTTTGAACAGCTGTTTGAATTCTGTTGTACTGTTGTTGTGACTTGATTTATTTAACCCTTTATTTAACCTGTTCCGGACTTTTGGGTGGTTGAGTTGTTTTCAACCCTTTGCTACCAGTATTCTGTGCAAAACTATGAGCTTCAGCAGTTCTGCTGGTGTGTAAACCTTCTGGGAAGATAAAGCCCCTGGAGTGGAATTGCTGAGCCACAGTGCACAAGTGTGTGTCATGTTGATAGAGATTTCTAAGCTGCCTTCCATAGACACTTGCATTTCAGACCCCCACCCGCCTATGTGAGCAACCCTGCATTCTCAGTGTTATAGGATGCTTTTTCAGTTTTTCCAAAACTAGGGTTGAGAAATTTTCCTTGAGCAAGGTAGAATATGTTTTCCTGTGTTGAGAAGCCATTTGTATTTAACTAAAGAATATCTAGCAGGGCCTCAAAATATGTAGGGAAAGTATAGTGAAACGTGCAATAATTATTTACTTGATTATGATGATGATGACATAATGGTTAATATTCTTGACACTGACCTGTGACAAAAATTAACTCAAAATGGATCACACAGCCAAATGTAAAACCAAAACTAGAAAATTCCAGGAAGAGAACTTAAGAGAAAACCTATGACCTGAGATTTGGTGATGACTTTTTAGGTATACACATGCAGCTCACAAACCCCTGGGGTGGGGGATTCCCCAGAAGTGCTCTCCTATATATTTTATCTGAAAACCTACAATTTGGAGGTCATTTAAGCTCTCTGAGCCTCAGTTTGTCCTTCGAGAATAAAAGGACAGCAAGTTATTAAATGTAAGGATTAAAATATGTGGAGGTGGAAAATCTTTTCTTCCACCTGCTGAAGGTCGCTGGGTGGGTCTGAAAATTAACCAACAATGACAGATTAACAGTAGAAAAGCTTACAACTTATTTTAATATGTTTTAAGTGTCACAGGAGCCTTCCTAAAGAAATGAAGATCTGAAGAAACAGCCTTGAGTATTTCAAACTAGGTTTGATGAGGCGTGGATAGTTGTGGAAGAATATGATAGGTTAAGGAATAAGAGGTAAGTGTAATAAGCTGGCAGAAACTTAGCAAGGCCTGTGTGTTAGGCTTCTTCTTGGAAGTGTTCCTCAGCCTTTGGAGATAAGAATGCTCCTTTCCTCCTGGTATAGGGAGGGTACCTCTCCCATGAGGGAATTATGACTTGTTTTACAGAAGAAGGGGGAAGGGGAAGTGAGAGTGAACTTCCTGCTTCTGCTGTTTTCTCAAACTGCTTCACCTTCAATATGCCAGGTGCCATATTTTGGGGTGAGGTATCCTGAACCCCATCACATGTCAAATGATTAAAGTGGTGTCTGAGATCTATACAGGCAGTTTATATGTTGGCTACAATTTTATTAGAAGACTCTTAAGAGTCCCTTAGACTGCAAGGAGATCAATCCTAAAGGATTGATCAGTCAATCCTAAAGGAAATCAACTCTGAATATTCATTGGAAGGACTGACATTGAAGCTGAAGCTCCAATACTTTGGCCACCTGATGCGAAGCGCAGACTCCTTGGGAAAGACCCTGATGCTGGGAAAGACTGAAGGCAAGAGAAGAAGGAGGCAACAGAGGATGAGATGATTGGATGGCATCACTGACTCACTGGGCATGAGCTTGGGTGGACTCCAGGAGTTGGTGATGGACAGGTGTCGGGAGCCGCCGGGATGCACCCAGTCCGTGACAAGGTCATGGGACGAGAGAGGAACCTGCAAGGCAGCTCTTCCTCACATGGGGCTGTCCCGGGGGCCCAACATGTCCCCTCCGGAGCCACCGGGACGAGAAAGGAATCTGCAAGGCAGCTCTTCCCCTCGAGGTTGTCCTGGGGGCCCGGTATGTCCCTTTCTTCCTTCTGTCTTACTGTTGTTGGGCTTTCTATTAATTTTTGGAAATATAATATATAGTAATAAGGCCTCTCTGGAAAAGTCCAAGCCTTTTTGGAAATGCTCAAGATTGCTCTGGCTCAGGACACGACCATAAACATCAAGTCATAAAAGAAAAGGCCACAGGTATAGTTTGGCTGCTTGCTTAAAAGATTGTAATGTTCTAGAATAGAAAAGAGTAGAGGTATTTAGATTTAGAAGTAGATATACTGCTTTAGTTTATGTGCTCCTTGGTTGAAAGGGTTTTCATTATTGCTATTTCCTTGCTGCTATTTGTTCATTGTTTCCCTTTCTTTAAACAACATGGGATATTATGGGTATTTTTGTAAAATTAGAAAATGGGGCATATACGATTTTAATAGAAGATTTATATTAACCAGCTTTACTGCCATTATCTTACTATTAATAGAGGTGTTTTTCTGTTTTAGAGGTGTTTTTGCTGTTTAATAGTTAATCATTGTAAATTGAGATTTAGTGGTTTCAGGTAAAGAAAAATATCAGGTTTTTCTCATGGTACTATTTTCAGAAATGTCAAACATGTTACTGTGACCCTTCCCATGTATTATTTTATTGTCCAAAGAATTTACATTATACCTGAGACTTGTGAAACACTGTTTTTGTTAGAGTGAGAATGTTAGGCCATTGAGGCAAGAAGACTATGCATGGGACATTTAAGTTTAAACCCTGTAATCGGAAACGTTCTAGATGAATGCTCAGGGGAAAAACATGGGGAAAAAAATATTGACAGAAGCACAAATCAATATCTGATGTAATAAGTGGTGACTTAAGGGGGAGGTAACATTCATTCTATAAAAACTGAGCTATCCTAAAATTAAAAAAAAAGCTACCTGTTCTACACAACCATCTGTGTGTGTGTCTGTCTGTCTTCTTCCTCGCCGACGCCACTCATCCCTTGGGTGTTCCTGGTCCTGCCGGGGCTGGACCTCGGCAGACAGGGAGGCCTGGCATGCTGCAGTCCATGGGGTCGCAAAGGGTCGGACACGACTGAGTCACTGAACTGAAGATATAATACCCAAATCCATAAAAAAGCTGAATGTTCAAGTGAATTTTATAACATATCCCACCCAGCCTAGTTCAGGGCTCGTTAACCTCAGAGCATTGCTCACTGGGGCCTGGATGACTGTGGCGCCATCCTGTGCATCACAGTCTGTTGGAAGCAGCGTCTTCCGCCTCTATCCACTAATCCCCTGTCCTCAAACTGTGATAAAATGCTGCCAGGCACCCTCTGGGGACAGACAACCACTCCCAGCTGAGAAACAGTGGCCAGAGCGATGTAAAGAATGTGTTTTTGTACAGTGTGATCTATCTCCTGCATATCTTTGGACATTTATGAGCCCAAGCACATACGCAAGCACACACCACATCTGAAGGGGCTGTGAGCCTCGTGATGGGGAATGTTGAGCGGCCGATAAACATCACCCTGACCTCCGGGGAGGAGAAGGAGGCACAGGAGATGGAATTCAATCATGTGGCAAATGATGAAATCAACCCAGACTGCATGATGGAACACTAACAAAGACCCGGGACCCCCATGATGGAACACTAACAAACACCCGGGACCCTCAATGCTCGAATGAGCCTCCCTGGGGATGCCCCTGGATGTGCAGGAAGGGGAGGCGCCCCGAGGATTCTGAAGTGTGGTGCTTCTCTGCATTTGAGCATCACAGCGACTTCCCTAGGGGTCCTGGGCTGGGCCTCCCCGCTCCCAGTGCAGAGGGCCCGGGTTCCATCCCTGGTCAGGGAACTAGATCCCACATGTGGTCACATAGACCAGGCGCAGCCAAATGAGTGAAAATAGCTATTAATGTATATATCCATATATATAACATCACATTATGAGCACGGCGTGTTCCTGAATTCTGCGAGCCCCTCTAGTGAACAACAGAACTGGAGGGATTCAGGAATCCCAAATTTGTAGCCAACAGATCAGAAGTGTGGGCAGCCTGGGAACCTGCAGAGCAAGTGTCTGGTGTCTAAAGAGAGGGTAGTCTTGCGCACCACCCCTCCCCCTGCCAAGTTAGGTATATAGACCCCAAATTCGATGAATGAAACGGAGTTAAGGCAGATGAGTGACAGCAAACCCAACAAAGACGAATTAGCCTGTGTCTCGTGGAGTGTGAGGCACAGGAAGCACCCAGAGAAAAGTGACCAAAGAGGGGTCAGATTTTGCCGTCTATGTGCCTAATTTACGGGTTTCTGTGGCGGCTGAGACACTGAAGAACCGCTCCCGCTGGCGGGGGAGGCTGGGGGCTGTTGTGTAGGTCTGTGCTGTGTGTCAGTTTCAGGTGCACAGCGAAGGGACTCAGTCTCACAGATACAGAAATCCCTTCTCAGAAAGGCCTGGCAAAAAGGCGGCAAACATGAGCTCATTCCCCCTCACTCGGACACAGCAAACAGGTTCCCAGGGGCCTGGTGAAAGGAGTCACTTCCCGCCTCCCCGGGGAGAGGAGACGGGCAGATCCGGCAGGATGGAGACCTTCGAGCACGTGACCCCCAGGCGCTCATCTCCCCCTCACGCCTCATTACTCCCGAAAGCAGAGCGACAGCATTTCCGAACGCCCTCGAGGATTTCCCCAGTCGTGACTTCACATTCATCTCAGGAGGCTGTGCCTCTAGGTGACTTTAAACCCCGAACTGAGCACCACGGTGAACCGGACGGCATTTCTGAAGCCAGAAGTCCATGTTTATTATTTGAGAAATACACACTTGGCAGCTGGCGCCTGATGTAGGTTTTGCGCCCCCTCCGCTCCCCCCGCGACCCTGTTTTCTGCCCCTCGGGGGATTCAGCTCAAGGATTCAAGGTCTCGCTTTGGGTGACTGCAACTGGAAAATCTCCATCAGGACTTAGAAACCAGCCTCAGTTCCTTCACCTTCAATCCCTTTCCTGCCCCCTCCCGGCCTGGGGACAGAAACAGCGAAGCGTTTCGCCCCCCCCCCCCCACCCCCCCACCCCCCACCCCCGCAGCAACCCCCCGGGGAGATGTCAGAGCAGCCTGTGCTTCTTTTATACATATTTGCAAAAGTGAAAAATTCTTCCTGAGTACGCGTCACTGGCACAGGGGTAAAGAATCTGCTCGCTAATGCAGGAGACGCAGGTTCGATCCCTGGTTGGGGAAGATCCCTTAGAGGGCGTGGCAACCCACTCCGCTATTCCTGCCTGGAGAATCCCAAGGACAGAAGGAGCCTGGGGGCTGCAGTCCACGGGGTCGCACACAGTGGCACACGACTGAGCGACTAAACGACAATTTCATTGTTCTTAGGGGATGAGGGTCAGAAGACCTCTCCCGCCACCCGCTCTCCGGGGTCTCAGATCCCCGGCTGTGCCCCTGGCCCTGAGCCCCGCGCTGCCCGCCGGCCGGGAAGACGCGGCCGCGAGGGCCCCTCGGCGCCGGCCGCCGCGTGCCCGGCCCTCGCCTCCCGCCCGCTAGGTGGCAGCCGACCTCCGCGGGAGCCCAGGCCGCCTGTGCGCCCGGCCCGGCGGAGAACCGCGGGCCTTCCCGGGCGACCACCCCGCGCGCCCGCCCAGCCCGTCGGCCCCTCCCAGGCTCCCGGGCAGCGCCCCCTCGAGACCACCCCGCGCCCCCAGACCCGGTCCCAGGGCGCCCCCTCGCCTTCCCCCTGCGCTTGCAGCGCCACCCCCTGCAGCCCCGGCTCCCTCAGTCCCCCAACCCTGAGCACCGCCCCCCACCCTTCAGAGCCACAGCGGGGGACTGCCCCAGCCCCCCACAACCCGGCTGTGACCTGGCGCGGGTGCCCGGGGGCACGGAGTCGGGGAGGGGGGTTGGCGCAGTGCTGGTCCTGGCATCCCACGCGGGGCGGGGGTCCTAAAAACGTGCCTGGGGACACCCAGGACAAAAGCGCGAGAGGAGCGGCTCACGACCCCCGCAACCCGCGGTCCACACGGGTACTCAGATCTAGCGGTTAAAACAGTGCCTGAAACAAGCCTGTTGTTATCAGGATTGGAGGACTGGAAAGTCTGGCCTCACACCCCCCTCTGTGAGCCAGGCGTCCCAGCATCACTGTCTCCCTGGCAGGGGGTCCCACCTGGGCCCCCCCCCGCGCGCCCCTCCCCCACCTGGACCCCGCCCGGGCCCAAGTCTTCCAGGAGACGGGACGTGGAGTTGGCAGGGAAGAACCGTGTTACACTGCCAAGCGGCGGAGACACAAGGGCCTGGATGCCCGGGGTGGGGGTGGCACTGGTGTCTGGGGGCCCGCCCTGCAGAATCATCAGACACACAGTGACCCCCAGGCACGCGGCGACCCCTCTCCCAAACACCCACACACTCACTGCTGCTCACAATGGCCTAGTCGCAAAACCCCAAGATGGCGGCAACTGAGATGCGCACAACTTGATGGCGCACAACTGAGATGCGGCAACTTGGGATGCGCACACACTTGCCGAAACTCAGCCGCCTGGGCCGTCTGTTAAGGATGGTCCTTACCCTTAGGGATGGTCCCTGGTCAGACCTTAATCAAATGGACTCCCAGCACAAATGGTGAGGAATGCTGTGGGCGCTTGGGTAGCCGGCACTTTGGGACTACTATGAATGGACCTGTTATGAACATTATACATATGCATGTATATATGTAAAGTTTATATATACATACAAACATATATATATGATTCATTGGAAACACTGATGCTGAAGCTGAAACTCCAATCCTTTGGCCACCTGATGTGAAGAACTGACTCATTTGAAAAAACTCCGATGCCAGAAAAGATTGGAGGCGGGAGGAGAAGGGGACGACAGAGGATAAGATGGTTGGATGGCATTACCGACTGCATGGACATGAGTTTGAGCAAGCTCCGGAAGTTGGTGATGGACAGGGAGGCCTGGCGTGCTGCATTCCATGGGGTCGCAAAGAGTCAGACCCGACTGAGCGACTGAACTGAACTGAACTGAATCTATGAGTTAACCTATATTTTTGCAGGCAGATTCTTTACTGTCTGAGACACGAGGGAAGCCTATATATACTGGTGGGCTGCAGTCCATAGGGTCAGAAAGAGCGGACACTACTGAAGCGACAGCACATATATATATGAGTTAATTTTTTTTTAAATAGAAGTTTAGTGGATTTACGATGTTGTATTAGTTCCTGTTGCACAGCAAAGTGATTCTGGTAGAGATATATATGATTTCTCAGATTGTTTTTATTATAGGATATTAGATAGAGCTCCCTGGGCTATGCAGCAGGACCTTTTATATTTTTCTATATAGCAGTTTGTATCTGCTAATCTCAAATGCCTAATTTATCCCTTCCCCAACCCCTTTCCCTTTTGGTAAATATAAGTGTGTTTTCTTATGTCTGTGAGCCTGTTTCTGTTTCCTAAGTTCATTTGTATGAGATTCCATCTGTAAGTTACATCATATGGTATTTATCTTTCTCTGCCTGGCTTCACTCAGTATGATTATCTCTAGGTCTATCCATGTTGCTGCAAATGGCATAATATTATTCTTTTTCATGGCTGAGTAATATTCCATTGTGTATATGTACCACATCTTCTTCATCCATTCATCTGATGATGTACACTTCTGTTGTTTCCATGTCTTGGCTATTGTAAACAGTGCTTCTCTGAACATAGGGGTACATGTATCTTTTCCAAGTAAAGTTTTCTTCAGATATATGCCTGGGAGTGGGATTGCTGGATCATATGATAGCTTTATTTTTAGATTTTAAGGAACCTCCACACTGTTCTCTAGAGTGGCTGTGCCAGTTTATATTCCCACCAACAGTGTAGGAGGTGCCATGAAACACTTTTGTACACATCCTCTGTTAGCTTAATATGCATTTCTGTCGGGAATATACCCGAGAATGGGGTTGCTGGGGTTGGACATGCATATGTGCAGTTATGCCAGCCACGAGCTTTCTCTTCTAAAGAGCAGCACCAATCTACACTTCCACAACCATGCACAAGAGTTCCAGGGGTTTCACCACCTCACCAACTCTCATGTCTTTCCTTTAGTCCATCTGAAGGATGTGTGCTTGCACCCCTGGAATCTGGTTTTTGGTTTTTTTTTTTTTCCATTTATTTTTATTAGTTGGAGGCTAATTACTTTACAACATTGCAGTGGTTTTTGTCATACATTGAAATGAATTAGCCATGGATTTACATGTATTCCCCATCCCGGTCCCCCCTCCCACGGGAATCTGGTTTTTGAAAGCAAAAGTTTTGAAAGAAATTTCTCAAGCTGAATAGATTATAAATATCAGCAAAATTAAAACTTCAAAAGTAGAAGGTAGAGAAAGAGAGAGAGGCTTTTTTGTTTGTTTGTTTTAATGAATACACCTTGTTACGACTTGGGATTCTTGTGAAATGCATGTATTATCTTAAAGAGAAAACTCGCTCTATAGTCTTCTAAATTGTTGAGGTGCTGAAGCTCATGGGTGATCATTTTACTTCTCAGAAATGAGTGGGTGCTTTCCTAAGTAACAGAGGGCTGGAAACGTGATAATCTTAAAACCAGCCAGCACCAAGGAACTGTCATAAATATCTCATAAGCCGTGAAGTCACCAATACCTGCATACAAGGAGCAACTGGAAAAGATGCTGACTGAGTCAACAACAGGAAAATCCTGGGGGAAGGGCACTGCAGGGGGAGTAAACGGCCAGTTGCAAAGGCCCTGAGTCAGAGTTTCTGTTGCTTGCCATCAAAGGAGTCTGATACAGAGGGTTGTTGTTGTTGTTTAACTGCTAAGACCTGTTGGCACAGACTCTGGAGTCAGCCTCCCTGGATTTGAATCCTGGCTTGACTCCTTCTGATCTGTGTGACCTGAAGGAAGTGACAGGAACTCTGGGCCTCTGTTCTCTTATCTCAGAAAGAGACAGAATAACAGAACTGGCCACATGGTTGTGAGCATTAAGGGGAGTAAAATGTGTAAAGACACTGGTTTGGTGCCTACCACATGGTCAATGCCCAAGAAAAGTTCCTTATTCTAATTATCTGCATAAGAAAGGAGGGGAGGAGACTCTGGTCCATGGAGGAGAGATACAGAATTGAAGAATACATTTATTCACTCATGTGTTCATCACAACACGTGCTGGGATGAATTAACATAATGGACCTGATCAAAGGTGGACACATTATTCATTCTCCTTTGCTATAGTAATAGAAGCTATTGGATGACACAGGATTGCCCGGCTAAGGACCACAGTTCCCAGCATCCCTTGCAACTAGATGTCGTCATGTGACCCGCTCTGGCCAATGAGCTGTGAGGAACATGACCTGGGCTTCCTGTAGGAGTCGCCCTTTGAAGGACCGAAGCCTGTCTTCCCCTCTCCTCATCCCCCCACTTGCCCCGCACCAGAATGTGGCCTGGGTGTGCGGGTGAGCCCTCTCCAGCCACGTGGCACAGAGCACCGAGGTCCAAGGACCCTGGCTGCCCAACCCCACGGAGCTGCCCCGCCCCGGCCCTGGGAGTTTCACACACAGACCACAGCCTTGGGAGAGACAGCAAGTTGAGTTTATTGAAGCGGCTGCATTGGGGGACTTTGCATCACGGTAGCCCAGCATGCATGGTTCGGGGGCGCGCGGGCAGGAGCGGGAAGCGGAGGGCCCTCAGGGCTTAGGAAGCGGTGACGAAGCTGAGGCAGCACAGAGGGCACTCGCACACCTTGACCTCGCGGAACTCCAGCACGGGCATGGGGACCACGGTGCAGTTCGGGTCCGACTTGGAAGCGTCAGGAGCCACCGGGGGCTCGGGCTCGGGCTCGGGCTCGGGCTCAGCGTCATCCGGTTCCACGTAGTAGCTGAAGCAGACACTCGGCTGGAAGGAGAGAGAACAGGGAAACAAGAGGAGAATGTCGGTGTCACACTGGTGACACTTTGGGGTCATGTCATTCCTTGCAGTGTGTGTGGGGGCATCCCATGCTTTGCAGAATCTTGAGTACCATCAATATTATATCTAAATATATATAAGAAAACATGCAAATAGAATATGTGGCAACACCCGGTGAATTTTGATCATCTTTGTACTGTTTTTATAAAATCTTGGATTCTCACATTAATTCCTAATAAGAAAACTTCTTCAAGAGTAGTACTAGTCGCACTAGTAGGTAAGATGTTCTCACGGGCATCTGACCCAGGGCCTCCCCTGACCTCTCCCCATGGGCCCCCTGGTCTCCCCAGGGTCCCTCCAGCCTCTCCTCCTGCCAGTTAGAAGCCCAGAGACAGAGCTGACGCCTCATTAAAGTGGTAGGTGTGCCTGACCTCTCATAACCTAGGAGATCTCAGGTCAAACAGAAGAAACAAGCAGGCTTACTATGGGACAGAACGGCAGAACTTTGAAAGACAGTCTTCCCCTCATTCCTCTGGGCTTCTTCTTAGGCTCATCAGGATTCTCAGAAAGCAGGGCTGCGTGGGGAGGAAGAAAGAGGCATGAGACCATCTTGCCTGCGGAGGCTTGAGAAACTCAGTAACAGTATCTTCATCATGAAGCTGGGTGGGACTGGGCCAGTCTCCAGGGTCAACCCCTCCTCATCACCCTTGCCCTAGACCCTCCCACTCCCACCTGCCTATACTTTCCACCCCACGTGGGTCTCACCTCCTTTCTCCGGAGGCTTGGTCTGCACCTCCTCAATTTCCTTGTCCTCGATGGTGCTCAGAGGCAGCATCATGACGCGGCAGGCCCTCCCTAGAGATAGGAGACACAGCGGTTAGTGCCTGGGCGGTGGAGCCAGGGGGCCCGGGTCTGGCTCTCGGAGGTCGGCTGGACTCAGACAGCCCCATCCCCTCCCCACGTCTCCAGGTCCCCAGCATCCAAGGGGACGTGCTGGCAATGCCTCCCTCCTGGTTTCCTCCAAGGCCCAGGGTGTGATCTGGGGAGAGTGGTTGTCATGGCGCCCGGCAAGGCCAAGGGGAGGGCTCGTGGTACCTGGGGCTTACCCCCTTTGAAACTAGAAAAACTGTGACATGAAGGGCCGGGACCAGGAAGCTGCAGCTCGGCTCACTGGGCACCAAAGGGGCCTCTGGGGCCTGGCATACAGCAGGCGCTCTGTAAGTGCACGCGTGAAGCAGTCCCAGTGCTGTGTTTCAGCTCCGCCCCAGGGCTACCAGGCAGCCTGACCCAGGGCTTCAGACAGGCCCGCCCCTCCTGTGCTCGGCCCATCCAGGTACAGGAGGCATCAGTCCCGCCCTCAAGACCTTGGTGAACAGAGGGACGGGGCCTCAGACCCCCAGCACAGCCCTGGGGCGGGGCCAGCCCTGCAGGGAGGGGGCTCAGCACAGGCTCAGTGTGGGGACCTCACCTCCGCCCCCGCATCACCCTGGGCAGGACTTGGGCTATGTGTCTGGGGAGTGGACTTGGGGGAATTCCAGCCTGCTAGTCACTAACTGGGGATCTCAAGCATCAAGTTCGCCAGATTTAACTACATTACAATAAATACACAGCAAACTGAGATGTGAACTTCACATACACAGATCATATTGTGCTATAGCAAGTCCCAAACACTGCATGGTAAGTATCTACTTAAAAGTCATTTATTTAATATATTAACCTATGTTTATGTATATATCCCTGGAAATACCTGGGACATACTTATGTCCAAAGGTAATTCATTATTTGTCTGAAATTCAAATTAAGTAACCCTCCTACATTTTGGATGGCAAGGAGATCAAACCAATCAATCCTAAAGGAAATCAATCCTGAATATTCATTGGGAGGATTGATGCTGAAGCTGAAGCTCCAATATTTGGCCACCTGATGAAAAGAACTGACTCATTAGAAAAGACCCTGATGCTGGAAAAGATTGAAAGCAGGAGGGGAAGGGGACAACAGAGGATGAGAGGGTTGGATGGCATCACCGACTGGATGGACATGAGTTTTGAGCAAGCTCCAGGAGTTGGTGATGGACAGGGAGGCCTGGCGTGCTGTAGTCCATGGGGTCGCAAAGAGTCGGACACGACTGAACAGCTGAACTGAACTGAACTGATCCTGCGTTGTACCTGACAAGCTCTGATTCAGGGGTTATTAACTCTTGTTATGTCAACTCTCCCTTCCAGAAAAATGAGTAAAATTAATTATTAAACATGAAGCTTAAATATGGTTAGATTGACACATATTCAGAACACATTATCCGGAAACAGAGTTAACACCTTTGCCTTCTTTAAACATTTTAAAGAAACATAAGATGCAATCAGAGACCCTCACATATAATCCTGCAAAGAAAAGATGCATCAGTTTGGGGAAACTCCCTCTGGCGGACTCCCAGACCCACTCTCAGCCTCGCCCGGGCCCCTCCCCCAGAGGCTACCCCTCAAAACCGCGCGCCCCAAACGTGCTCCCAGCCCCCACCCGCAGCCACGCGGGCGCACAGAACCACTGGAGGCGCAAAAGCTGTTTTCCACGCGCCCTTCTCATCAGCGAACTTCTCACGCGTCCTCCGTGAACCCCCAAACACATCCATAGGGCCTCCTGCCTTCTTCAAACTGCCCTCTGGACTCCCCACAAAGTCGTTATCCTATGTCTCATTCCACACCCTCTCGCTGACCCCTGACACCCCGCTGACTTCCCAGGTTGGGAGCAGCCCTTGGATCTCCACCTCCCCCATCAAACCGCAAAGTTGCCGGGTCCGCCCCTCCGCTCCCAAAACCTGGGGACCAGGACCCGGGCCCCCCTCCGCCTGTCCTGGAGGGGGTCCCCGCCATCCCCGCCTCCGGACACCCCACTCGGGGGAGGGGACCCACTCCTCTGTCCCTTCCAGGATTCGCTCCCCCAGTGGCCCCAGAAATCCAGGGGCCCGGAGTCCCCGCGCGGCTCGGAAGCCGCCCGCCGCCCTTGAGGAGCCCGCACCGCGCGCCCCCGCCTTCCCCACGGAGAGCCCCCCTCCGCCCTCCCGCCGCCCCCCCGCCCCGAACTGCGCCAACCTTGAGGGCCGGACCCTTCGGAGCTGCGGCCGCGGGACCGACCTCCGGACCCGGGCTCGGGCTCGGCGTCTGGGCTGGAGCGCGCCGGCTTGCTCACCGCTGGTCCTGGGGGCCCGGGCAGGGCTGGCTCCGAAGAAGTCCAGGGGGCCTGCGGGTACACTCTCGGGAATGAAGAGCGCTGAGCCGCTCAGCATCACTCACGACGCCCCACCTCCACCCCCCAACACAAGCAGGTGGTTAACAGCTAACAGCGGGCCTGCGGCCAGCACAGGCGTGTTGCTTCACTTTTATTGTTGTGGGGAGCGGGTCCCGGGCCGCCTCCTCCTCACTGCTTAGAGAAACTGACACAGAGGGTGGCCTTGGGCGGATTTTAGGTGGAGGAGACTCAGTGGTGCAGATGGTAAGGGTGAGGAGTGGTTCTTAAACTTGTTACTCAAATACGAAGAAGCACACGGCCCACACGTAGAAACACATGTGTGTAGCATGTGTGCTGGACCCAGACAGCAAGTATGTTTCACCCTGTGCGTCAGAGTCACAGTAGTTGAAGAGTTTCCCTCCTTTTTCTAAGCATTCTCACACCTTCACCTGAACTGATGTCAGCCTGCATCTATTCGAAGCACCGTCATTCACCGCTGTCGTGGAAAGTGTCATGGCAAATTGTGTAGCCTTTCTGGATCATCCAGTCTGCGTCTCAGCTACTGGATTTCACAATAAAACAGCCCGGGTTCTACCTAAGGTTGGGGTGGATGTGCTGAGAAGCCCTCATTCACACAAACAAGCTGTGAACTGAATGAGTGTAGTCTGCCCACCGTTGACCTAGGGAAATTTTTGAGCTACCTCCTGCTGGAAAGACAAGGCTGTTGGTAGAAGAAGGACTGGTACCCAGGTGGACGGGGCCACAGCTGCCTTCGCAGGAGGGACCGTTCCCTGACTTATTCCTTCATTTAACCAGCCCGAGCCTATGTGTGCTAGCGCTGGTTACCTCTGTGTTAGGCAGCGGGGGATATGTCATTGAACAACAGAAGAGGCTCTTGACCCCACAAAACTACTCTAGTAGGAGAGAGAGATGGTTAAAACATAGATAGAAGGCATGCCGTCAATAATTACTCTGAAGAAAATTCAGGAAGCTAAGGAGCTGGAGAGAAACAGGGTGAAAGGGAGCAAGGGGGGCCTCGTGGAGGAGCAGAAGCTGGAATCAGCAAGGAGGAGGCAGGGAAGAGGGCAGCGCCCACAAGGAAAACCACCCCGCCCCACGGGATGGGGCCACACCCAGGACCAGGCAGGGGCAAGGGGCACCCGGGCACCCAAGGGTCTCTGGTGGGCAGAGAGGGTGGCCAAGCCGCGCGATCGCTCAGCCCACGGGCCTCCAGTGAAAAGGGAGGAAGCAAGCAGGCTTACCACAGGGCAGAACGGCAGGACTCTGAAGGACACAGTTCCCTTCATTCTCTTGGACTTCTTCGGCAGAGCATCAGACTTCTTAGAAAAAAAGCCTGAGGGAGGAAGAAAGGGTCATGAGACTATCTGACCCTATGAAGCTTGAGAAACTCAGTCATAATACAGTCTTCATCATGAAACCAGTAACAGGAGCTAATACATGTGAAGTATGTTCCAGACACGCTTTTAAGTACTGTACATGCATTCGTTTATGTGGTTCTTCATAAAAACTCTCTGAGATGGGTATTATCATCAACCCACTTTAGAGATGAGCCAACTGAGGCACAGAGAGGTGGGGACACTTGTTGGAGGTCGCCCAGGAGTGAGTGAGGCCTGCATTCAATTGTATCCCAAAGGCCCCCAGGGAACAGACAGGAAGTGTCAGGGAGGGGAGGGGCTGGGGTAAGAAAACAGGGGTGTCCAGGCCATGAAAAGGGGCCCAAACGGGCTCAGCTCCCAGGAGCTCCCTGCAGGCTCTGTGCGGGGCAGTGACAGGACCCAGTGATGGGAGGTGATGGCAGGGAGGCTGCATCCTGGGTGTCCCTGCCCGGAAGAGCCAGTGGAGACATCTGGGGTCAGGGCCAATCCTCTGGGTCGATAGTTCCCAATCGGCCATGCCCTAGAGAGCCTCCCCACTCCCGCCTGCCCACAGTTTTCCAGGTCTCACCTCCTTTCTTCGGCGGCTTGGTCTGCACCACCTCCTCGGGTTCCTGGCTCTCGATGGTGCTCAGAGGCAGCATGGTGACTCCACAGGTGCTCCCTGCAGACAGGAGACAGTTAGTGCCTGGGCGGTGGAGTTGGGGGCCCGGGTGTGGCTCTCAGAGGTCAGGTGGACTCAGACAGCTCCATCTCCCCAAGTCCTCGGGTCCCCAACATCCAAGGGACGTGTTGGCAATGCCTGCCCCATAGAGTTGCTTCAAGGTCCAGTGTGTGATTCGGGGAGAGTGTCTGGTGTCTGGCAAGGGAAAGGGCGGGGTCCGTGGGTTTATGATCCTTTAAGAAACACAAGAAATATGACACAAAGGGCCCACACCCTGGATGTGCAGCTCAGCTCACTGGGCACCAGAAGGGCCTCTGGAGCCTGGCATAGAGCAGGCATCAGTAAGTGCAGCTCAAGGTCAGCATCACCATCACCATGTTTCAGCTCCGTCCCAAGGCTACCAGGCGGCCTGACCAAGGGGTTCGGACAGGCCCGCCCCTCCTGTCCTCGGCCTGTCCAGGCACAGGGGGCATCAGTCCTGCCCTGAGGACCGCGGTGAAGGGAGGGGCCGGGCCCCAGACCCTCCAGCACAGCCCTGGGTGGGGTACTCCTGCAGGGAGGGGGGTCTTCACCTCCACCGCAGCGTCACCCTGGGCAGGACATGGGCCGGGTGTCTGGGGAGAGAACTGGGGGATTGCAGCCTGCCAGTCACTAGCGGGGGATCTCAATGATCAAGTTGGCCACATTTAACAACAGTAATGTTATAATAAATACACAGTAAATGGAAATTTGAATTTCAGATACACAAATCAAGTTTTAGTTTAAGTAGTCTTTAAACACTGTGTGGGTCATATCTACATTTTTTTTTAAACTATTAAAAATTTATTAAATTATCTTTACAGATGGGCTCCCAGGAAATATTTGTGACACATTTATACGAAAAGGTAATTCAGTATCTGTCTGAAGTTTGAATTTAAGAAGGCAGCTTGCATTTTACCTGGCAAGCCCTGATTCAGGGTTTTTTAACCTCTTGGGCTGTCAGCTTTCCCCTCCATGAAAATGAAGACTATAAATGATTAAACATGAGGATTAAATATGCTTAAAGACACATACTCAGCGCACATCATCTGGTAACCTAGAGTCAAACCTCTTCCTCTAAGCCTTTTTTGAAGAAGCATGAGACCCATCACAGACCCTCACACGTAATCCTGCAAATACAGGGTGCGTCAAATAGCGCGGGAACTGCAGGCCACACACACACACACTCACGCACACACAATCAGTGGAAGCACACGTTTTTCAGATGAAGACTGCAGAAATCAGGGCATAACACACAGACACACCTGCAGACAAGTCCAGGGATGTACAGAGATCCCGATCACTCAGATGGGCAGGCCTGCTTCTCAGGGCTGAGCCCACTCCTCACAGGCAGTCCTGATCACACACACACACACACACACACACCCTCCAGACAGGCACAAAGGCAGACCCACAGACTGAAATGACCCCTCACCCTCCCCAGTACCTTTCCCTCTGGCAGACACCCAGGCCCACCCTCAGCCTCGCCCGGACCCCTCCCCAGAGGCTGCCCCTCAAAACCTCGCGCCCCAAACGTGCTCCCAGCCCCCACCCGCAGTCACGCAGGCGCACAGAACCACTGGAGGCGCAAAACCTGTTTTCCACGCGCACTCCTCATCTGTGAACCTTGCTCTGCGCCCTCAGTGAAACCCAAACTCACCCAGAGGGTCTCCCCAGCTCCCCACCCGCCACACTGCCCTCCGGACGCTCCCCAGAATCATGTTCCTATCTTCTGTGTGGCCAATTTCTTACCTGAGCCCTGAGACCGACTGACCTCTCTGGTGTGCAGGGCGAACCTGTGCCTCCCGCCTCCTCCAGCAAACTGCAAAGTCCCGGGGTCCGCCCCTCCCGCCCCCAAAACCTGGGGACCAGGACCCGGGCTCCCCCTCCACCTGCCCTGGAGGGGACCCCCGCCATCCTCGCCTCCAGACACCCCAGCCTCCTCTGTCGCCTTCAGTTTTCGCTTCTCCCAGTGACCAGTGAAATCTTTAGATCTGGAGTCTCCCCGAGGTGGAAAGGATCCGAGGGTCTCCACCGCTTCCAGGGGAAAACTTGGATTTCTCCAGGGCCCCCACCGCGCGCGCCCTGGGGTCTCGGGGCTCCCAGGCAGCAGCACCCGCTCCCGCACCTCCTCCCGGGGCGCCCCCGCCCTCCCCGCGGGGACCCTTCCCGCGCCCCCAGCCCCGCGCTGCGCCCCCGCTCTGCGGGCACAGACCCCGCGGAGCGGCGGCCGCGGGACTGACCTCGGGACCGCTTCGGTCTGGGTCGCTGGGCAGGGCAGGCGGGCTGGCTCCGCGCGCGTCCTTGGTGCCTGAGCAGAGCCGGCTCCGGAGACGCTCGGGGACGCGGTGGACAAACGCGCGCTTAAGTACTCAGGCTGAGCCGCTCGGCGACTCGCGCAACCCCCAAGCCCGCCCCCAAGGCCGAGTCAGGTGGTTCAAACCGCCTCTGACACCAGCACCCGCGTCAGAAGGCTCGCGGCAACTTGGTTATTAGGGGGGAGGGTCGGGGGCCTCTTGCCTTCGTTGCTTCGAGAAACCGATACAGGAGGTCGTGATGGGCAGGTCTTAAGGGGACGAGAATGACCTTGCGCAGGTCACAAGAGCAAGTCAGTGGTTCTAAACTTGGGCTTAGAGTGTGAAGAAATGCCACACAGTCAAAACACACGTATGTGTTAACAGCACGGGTCCTGTACTCAAACACAAAATATCTTTTAACGTTGGGCATCACGGCCACGGGAAGTTCCAGAGTTTCCCTCCGTTTTCTGATCATTCTCACACCTTCTCCCGTGTTGATTGCAGTTTGCCTCTCTTCAGATCACCGTCAGTCACCTTTCTTGGCCAGCGTGTGTGGCAGGTATTTTAGACTCCTGAGCCAGCAGGTCTGTGTGGAAGCTGCTCCTCTTTGCATGAACCCATCCTAGACAGTCCTAAGGATGGATGGAGTTATGTCAACATGCCCTTATTTATAAAGTCTGTGGACTGGATGGTCATAGTCTGCCCACCCTTGTCTTAAAGAATTTTTTTGTGCCAGCTCCTGGAGTAAGTAAACCAAAAAGTTGCCGTGAAAAGTGCAGTTGGGACAGAAAAGGTGAACAGATTTTTTTGAATATATATATATATAGTTTATGGAAATTTAAATCCTGTAAAGTGTACTATAAAAATAGTAATATATTCTTGATATATATGCAAAATTTGAAGCAATCACCTTTAAAAACAGCTCTCGTGAGCCTGGGTGACTTCCCTATAAGTTGGGGACTGTTTTAGTTCCTGTTCCACAAGACTCTGGTGAAGGTTACATGAGCTTGTCTATGGAAAGTGCTCGGCACCGGACCTAACAGACAGAAAGTGCCCGGGAAATGTTAGGGTTTGTCTAGCACTGTCAGTAACCAGCTGGTTAATCTCTCCCAGGTGAGGGGGTGCCCTTTGTGCCGGGCACTGGCCACTCTGAGACTCAAAGTGCCCAGAGGACCGTGAACGGAGCCAAGAGTCCCCGGGATCCACTGATAAGATTTTTTCAGGAGACCGTGCTCCTTCACGTTCTCATAGCTGCAAGCCCACAGCCTCACTTCTGGGAGCCACGGTGTGTGATGACCTAACGGATCTAAATCAATCCTGACGCAGACCCTTCAGTGACCACGGAAATCTGCAGTGCCCAGGGAAGTAGCCTCTGGACACGTTTGTCTGCTGAATCCTGCCCTGAGCTGCCAAGAAACTCTGTTTTGAATTTTACTTAAGATTGATTTGTTTACATCGATTAGCTTCGTGTCGTTACTTAGTGGTTACTGTGTTGGAGAGCCAGAAAACTGTACCTAATTCCTTCTCAAATGCGATCCCCCAGAGTGTCACCGCTGACATTTATGACCTGAACATTCTTTGTGCAGGGGGAGGGTCTTCCTGGTGCATTGCACCATGTTTAGAATGGTCTCTATCTGTTAGAGTCTAGTGTGTTAGTTGCTCAGTCATCACTGACTCCTTGCGACCCCATGGACTGTAGCCTGCCAGGCTCCTCTGTTCATGGGATTCTCCAGGCTAGGATACTGGAGTGGGTTGTCATTTGCTTCTCCATTTGAGCCTAGGAGCGGGGCCCCAGTTTGGGACAACCTGAAATAGACCCAACGTTACAGAGAAATTCCAGGAGGGGGCGCTGAAGCATCACCCGACATGAGAACTTCTGGTCTACCCGAAGATGTTGGCGGTGAAGGAAATCTCTATTCCTTCAGAAGCTCTCACATTTTGCTTGCTCCCAGGGTTTTCATGTACATTTCAGCCATAGGTTTTTTCCACACTCAGAAAGTTTACTGCTCCCAGCTTGAACTTTCTGGTGGAGCATCAGGGAGGAGACCTGCCTGAAGCGCCCCCCCCCACAACCCCCCATCCTTGGTGCATCCTTGGTGCAACTTCGCAAAGGTGTGGATTTTGCTGAGATGAGTAAGGGGTGAGCCCTCTGTGAAAGCTTCCCCACCCTCAGGGAGCCTGTGGGCTTCTCTGGGGCATACATGCTCTGAAGTCTTTGGACACTTGACTTACACGGAAAGTCTTTCCTCCTCATCCCTCAGACTGATAACTGCATCCTTCCAGAGGCTCTTCTGATGCTTGAGAAGGGTCACCTGGCTGGTGAAGGCTCTCCCCCATTCCTGGCTTCCCTCCCAGGTGCCAGGCTGGTGAACCCTCTTGCACTGTGACAGGTGGAAGCCCATGGAATTTGGGGATGTGATCACAACTCTGCATTGAGGTAGATTGCAGACATGGCCCGTTTTCCACCCTGCCTCACGTCTACACCCTTTGCCCCTTAAGTGTGCAATGCCCTCCTGTTCTGAATTTGCATTTAGCCATGGAACGTGTTTTTGCCAGTGGAGGCTGGCAAAATATGATCCCACAGAAGCTTGAAAAGTGCTTGTGAAACAACATTTGTTTCTCCCCTGCACCTGTACCAGTGCCATGAGGATGAACGTGCCCAAGCCAGCCTGCTGGAGGAGGAAAGACATTGCGAGTGGGGTCAGGTCTCCCCAGTCCCCTAGGAGAAGCCAGCCTAGGAGAACCGAGGACCAGTGTCCACCAGGCACCAGGAGGAGCTCAGAAACAGCAGCAGTGCCTCCTCTCTGACCTCATATGCCTTTTGTTCCTGAAGTTTGCCAACTAAAGAATGTTCCCCACCACGCACTACCACCTACAGTTCACCCTGAAAGGAATTCAGAGTGAAGATCCAGGTGAGGCACTTATGTTCTGGGAGAAGTGGCAGAAAAATCCTCTGAAAGCAAGTCCTTTGTCCATTTCCTGTCTGTCCATTTATGTTTCCCCCAACCTAAAATAAACTATCATAGAAATGAGATCACTAAGTAATTGAAATTAACTCCTGACTAATGAAGAATTGACACTTTTGAACTGTGGTGTTGGAGAAGACTCTTGAGAGTCCCTTGAACTGCAAGGAGATCAAACCAGTCCATTCTAAAGGAAATCAATCCTGAATATTCATTGGAAGGACTGATGCTGAAGCTGACACTCCAATACTTTGGCCACCTGATGTGAAGAACAAACTCACTGGAAAAGACCCTGATGCTGGGAAAGATTGAGGGCAGAAGGAGAAGGGGATGACAGAGGATGAGATGGTTGGATGGCATCACCAACTCGATGGAGATGAGTTTGAGCAAACTCTGGGAGATAGTGAAGAACAGGGAAGCCTGGTGTGCTGCAGTCCATGGGGTCACAGAGTTGGACACCATTTAGTAACTGAACAAACAGAAGGCTGAGTAGAATCTCTTGGGTTGGTCCCTGGACATAAGTCCACCATCTCCCCAGGTGTCATCTTTTCTGATTAAAGCACCTTTCCTATATACTGACACCTGCCTCTTGAATGATTGACTTATGAGTGCCAGGTGGCCAAACCTGGGTTCAGTTACACCTCAGATGCTAGCCATGTTCAGGAGAAAATAATAGGACCCAAGAGTCTTAGATTCTTCCTTACTAAGGAAGATTCCTTCCTTGCTAGATTCTTCCTTCCTTTTCTAAAAGCACTAATCACATTAACTGAGATGTCCATGCATCATGACCAACATGAACCTTGTGCTGAGTTACGTACTTGATTGCATGGACCCCCTTTCCAAAATCACATGCAAACTGACCTCTCACCTACCTGTTTGGACCAGTTCCTCACAGCTCTCTGAGAGGCTGTCTCCTGGGCTATAATCCCCACTAAATCCCCCAGATAAAATGGAAACCCTCATGTTGTGTGTTTTCACCTCAGTGAACACCTCCTGTGGATTTTGTGGTGGTGGTTGTTAACTGGCACTATTGTGGCTACAGATATGTGCTACACACATATTCCAGGTATTTCTGCAGCATCCGAAGAGGTAAGTGAAGGGAGTGTTGGAAGGTCTGAGTGTTGAAAGAGGCTCTTTGACCCACAGTTGTGTGACCATCTGGGAATCTCCCCGTGTCCACCTCTGTGAGGTGGATACCATGATGGCTAAGGGCGTAGACTCTGGAGCCAGCCTGCCTGGGTTTGAATGTGGGCTTAGCTCCTTGTGATCTGTGTGACCTGAAACAAGTGAGGTGGACTCTCTGTTCTCTTATCTCAGAAAGAGGGATAATAGCAGAACCAGCCACAGGTTGTGAGAATTAAGTGGCTCAAAATGTGTAAAGACATTAGCTCAGTGCCTAACACAGAGTCAGTGCTCAAAAACGTTTATCCTGCTAAAGACGGAGGGGATCCTAATCAATAGGAGAGAGATACAGAATTGAAGAATACATTTATTCACTCATGTGTTCATCACAACACGTGCTAGGGATAAATTAACATAATGGACCTGATCAAAGGTGGACACATTATTCATTCTCCTTTGCTATAGTAATAGAAGCTATTGGATGACACAGGATTGCCCGGCTAAGGACTACAGTTCCCAGCATCCCTTGCAACTAGATGTCGTCATGTGACCCGCTCTGGCCAATGAGCTGTGAGGAACATGACCTGGGCTTCCCGTAGGAGTCGCCCTTTGAAGGACCGAAGCCTGTCTTCCCCTCTCCTCATCCCCCCACTTGCCCCGCACCAGAATGTGGCCTGGGTGTGCGGGTGAGCCCTCTCCAGCCACGTGGCACAGAGCACCGAGGTCCAAGGACCCTGGCTGCCCAACCCCACGGAGCTGCCCCGCCCCGGCCCTGGGAGTTTCACACACAGACCACAGCCTTGGGAGAGACAGCAAGTTGAGTTTATTGAAGCGGCTGCATTGGGGGACTTTGCATCACGGTAGCCCAGCATGCATGGTTCGGGGGCGCGCGGGCAGGAGCGGGAAGCGGAGGGCCCTCAGGGCTTAGGAAGCGGTGACGAAGCTGAGGCAGCACAGAGGGCACTCGCACACCTTGACCTCGCGGAACTCCAGCACGGGCAGAGGGACAAAGGTGCAGTTCGGGTCCGACTTGGAAGCGTCAGGAGCCACCGGGGGCTCAGACTCAGGGTCATCGGGCTCCACGTAATAGGTGAAGCAGACGCTCGGCTGAAAGGAAAGAGAACGAGAACGTAGACGCAGGAAGAGAACGGTGGTGTCACTCTCGCGATGTGTCAGAGGCAGGCCATTCTTTGCAGTGTGTGTGTCTGGGGGCATCTTGTGCATTGCAAGAGGTTAAATACCATCACTGCCCTCTACCCGCCCGGTGCTAGGACCTTCCTTCCTCTTCTGTGACAAAGAAGAAATGTATCCCGACACTGAAGGTGTCCCCCGGGAGCTGAATTGCCTCCAGTTGAGAATCACTGCTTCGTCCCCTACTTATAGCGGTTAGGGAAAGGCAGGGACTGTCTGCCCCATCCACGCCCACGGATACAAGATGTAGGGTTCTCATCTCATAAGCCGACGGTTGGTTCTGTGGTGGGCACAGGACCCAAAATGAACTGACCAGAAAGCTCTCTCTTTCTAGACTATTTGGCTCATCTACAAGCATCTCCCCACTGATTTCTTATTAGTTAGTTGCACAGAGAAAAGAAAAATCAGTAAGTATTCAGTGGAGAAATGGGATAAACTGAGTGGATCAAAATTCAAGTGCATCTAAATGAGATGTTCTGAGAAGGACATGGCATCACTTAGGTGGTGCTCCAGAGATCACAGCTCACCCTGAATCTCATTAGGGGGATAGCATAAAAATCAAACAAGTATAGAAATGAAACAAAACAGAAAAAGCAATCAATATTGTGCGAGGTGTGACTCGGATGTGCAAAATCGTCTGTCATAAGAGGCAACGGAAGACTGAGGACATTGTCTAGCTCAAAGAGAACGAAAGATAGATTGTGTGCATGCTCAAGTTGTCTCAGTTGTGTCCGGCTCTCTGCGACCCCAGGGAGTGTAGCCCGCCAGGCTCCTGTCCATGGGATTCTCCAGGCAAGAAGACTGGAGTGGGTTGCTGTTTCCTCCTCCAGGGGATCTTCCCCACCCAGGGACTAGACCCATGTCTCTTACATCTCCTGCACTGGCAGGCAGGTTCTTTACAACTAGTGTCACCTGGGAATCCCAAAGATACATTAGCAAGTGCAATCCCTGGCCCCAGTTTTCCCCCAGGTAGGAGGAGAAAGAACACCAAACAGCATGTAGTGAGTGAACAAACCAAGAATATGGACAGCAGATGAGATGAAGTGCATATCAGGGTTAAAACCTCAAAGGCCACAACAGGCCCACAGTTAAATAAGAGAAGATTCTAAGGTGAAACACATGGAGGAATAGGAGCATATGTACATATATATGGTGCATATATGAGAAAACATGCAAACAGGAAAAAAAAGGTAACTATTGGTGAACTCGGATGATCTTTGTACTGTTTTGGTAAAATCTTTGATTACATTATTTCTTAACAAGAAGATTTTATAGAAAGTCCTCCCCGGGACTGTTGCAGGCACTAATAGGAAAGCCGTTCTCGCAGGCATCTGACCCAGGGCCTCCCCTGACCCCTCCCCACGGGCCCCCCTGGTTCTCACCAGGGTCCCTCCAGCCTCCCTTCCTGCCTGTTAAGACGCCCAGAGACAGAGCCGACGCCTCATTGGCCAAGGGTGAGTCACGTGCCCAGCCCAGGACCAATCACCGAGAACCTTGGCACTACCGGCTCTGATTGGTCAGGGGCGTACCTGGAGCTGGTCTGAGGATGGGATCAGATTCATCCAAAGTGCGTGGAGACAAGTGGTTCCCCCAGAAAAGTCAAGGGTGTTAGTAGGAGAAGGAGGACTGGTACCCAGGTGGACAAGGCCACAGCTGCCTCCACAGGAGGGACCGTTCCCTAATTCATTGCTTCATTTAATCAGCCCGAGTATATACAGTCCCCAGCGCTGCTTACATCTGATCTAGACAGGGGATATGTCATTGCACAATAGAGGAGGCTCTTGACCCCACAAAACTACTCTAGTAAGGGAGACAGATGATTTAAAAGATAGATACAAGATATGCTCTCAGGTAGCAATAATAACGCTGAAAAAAATTCAGGAAGGCTAGAGGTCAGAGGGAAATGGGGCAAGAGTGAGCAAGGAAGGCTTCATGGAGGAGGTGACACTGGAAGTTGGAATTAGGAAAGAGAGGAGGCAGGAAAGAAGGCAGCACCCCCGAGAGGATGGGGACACATCCTGGGGTGGGGGACAAGGGGCACCCAGCCACCCATGGGTCTCTCCTGGGCAGACAGTGTGGTGGAGGTGCCTGACCTCTCATAACCTAGGGGATCTCTGGTCAAAGGAAGGAAACAAGCAGGCTTACCATGGGACAGAACGGCAGGACATTGAAAGACAGTCTTCCCTTCATTCCTCTGGGCTTCTTTCGAGGCTCATCAGGGTTCTCAGAAAGCAGGGCTGGGGAAGGAGGAAAGAAATGTGAGGCCATCGTGCCCTCTGAGGCTTGAGAAACTCAGTAATAATAAGATCTCCATCATGAAACCAGTGACAAAAACTAACACGTGTTGAGTACTTGCCCTGTGCTGGGCACTCCTACATATATTATACTGTAATATATAACTTGGCTCTTATCTTCATCCAACTTTACGGAGGAAGAAACTGAGGCACAGAGGGGTTAGGACACTTGCAGGAGGTTGCACAGCAATGACTGTAGTCATGCATTAAATTGCATCCTGAAGGTCCTCAGGGAACAGACGGAATGTCAGTGACCAAAGGGGCTGGAGTTAGACAACAGGGGGCTGTGGAGATAGTGGCGCCCTGGGGCGCCCGTGTCCAGGAGGAAGGCACCGCTGATACGCAGGTGGCCCTGTGGCATGTCTCTCCAGAAAATACTTAGGTTTCCCCAAAGAAGACAGTACTTTGGCCACCTGATGAGAACTGACTCACTGGAAAAGACCCTGATGTTGGGGGAGACTGAAGGCAGGAGGGGACGACAGAGGATGAGATGGTTGGATGGCATCACCAACTTGATGGACATGAGTCTGACCAAGCTCTGGGAGTTGGTGATGGACAGGGAAGCCTGGAGTGCTGCAGTCCGTGGGGTCGCAAAGAGCCAGACACGACTGAGCCACTTAGCGTGCACAGCACAGACAGACCATGCAATGCCAGGCAGCTGGAACACAAACCGGGCATCTTGTGGGGGAGGGTCCTCACAAGGTCAAAGACCCCCAGCCAAGATGGCCAGGGTTCAGGTTCCACCATGTCACCCTTCAGATTTCCCACCTGCACCATGAGGTAATTGGTGTCAATCTCACAGGGAGGTTGTGGAGTGCGGGTGACTGGATGCAGGGAAAGCATTGGGACTGTGACTGGCACGACGTGCCAGATGAGAATTAAGTGAAGTAAGACAAAAGAGGAAGTGGGAGTGAGACATATAGTACACACAGCGTATCAGACATAAATACACAGTGCCAGATACATACACATCCCTGTCAGTATGCGTGAGCACAGAACATTCTGGAAAACTGGACAGGAAGCTGGGAAGTAGCTACCTCTGGCAAGGAAGTGGGCAGCTAAGGAAGTGGCTTGCATCTTATTTTGTATGAGGGTTACACGCAGCTGCAGATGTGTTGAAATATAAGTAAAAACACATGGGGATTGTGCCAGTTGAATCAGTGGGCTAGTTTTCACGTTGGACTATCATTCAATAAGATCAAATTACTGGGGGAAAATGGGATAAAGGGTCCATGGAATTTCTATGAATCACGATGGCAACGTCTTGTGAATATAAAAAGGGACGGTCAAAAAAGGGACCGTCACAGCAAACCCAAGAGCCCTCCCTCATGAGGCCAGATCACCAAAAGGATCTTCCTTGCTCTGTGCTTAGTCACTAAATTGTGTCCAACTCTGAGGGACCCTGCGGACTGTAGCCCACCAGGCTCCTCTGTCCATGGGATTCTCCAGGCAAGAATACTGGAGCGGGTTGCCATTTCCTCCTTCAGGGGATCTTCCCCACCCAGGGATGAAATGTGCAACTCCTGCATAGGCAGGAGGTTCTTTACCACGAGCGCTGCCTGGGAGGCCCCCAGCGCACTCCTTCCCACTGCTAAATCCTCTCTTCAGGCCTCATCACGTCTCAGATGAACGACCCTACAGACCCTTGACCTGGCAACTGAACAGAGGGTCAACCGGCCCATGCAGGTGGCCACACGACACAGAGGAGCCCATATTGATTCCAGCTCCCAGGACACAGCCCCGCAGGCTCTGAGCAGGGGAGTGACGGACTCACGGACGTGAGGTGATGTCGGGAGGTTCCATCCTGGGCACCCCTCAGGGCCCCCCCTCCTTAAGAGGAGCCAGCAGGAGACACTCGGGGTTGGGGCCAGTCTTCAGGGTCCACGCTTCCCCCTCAGCCTGGAGGCCTCCCCACTCCTGCCTGCCCACAGTTCCCACCCCACGCGGGTCTCACCTCCTTTCTCCGGAGGCCTGGTCTGCACCTCCTCAGTCTCCTGGCCCTCGATGGTGCTCAGAGGCAGCATCATGGCCCCACAGGTGCTCCCTGTGGACAGGAGACTGTCAGTGCCTGGGTGGTGGAGCCAGGGGGCCTGGGTGTGGCTCTCAGAGGTCGGGTGGACTCAGACAGCTCCATCCCCTCCCCACATCTCCAGGTCCCCAACATCCAAGGGGACGTGCTGGCAATGCCTCCCTCCTGCTTTCCTCCAAGGCCCAGGGTGTGATCTGGGGAGAGCGGTTGTCATGGCTCCTGGCAAGGACAAGGGCAGGGCTCGTGGTACCTTATGACCATTTAAGAAAAAGAAGAAATATTATGATACAAAATGCAGGGACTCTGAAGGCCAGTAACAGTTACTATCAAAGGAGGACCTGCCTCTGGAGTCTGGCATACAGCAGGCACTCAATAAATGCACTCGTGGAGCGTTCCCAGTGCTGTTTCAGCTCAGTCCCAAGGCTACCAGGCAGCCTGCCCAAGGGATTCAGACAGGCCCGCCCCTCCTGTCCCGCTGGTCCAGGTACAGGAGGCATCAGTCCAGCCTCAGGACTGCGGTGAAGGGGCGGGGCGGGGCCCCAGACCCCGCAGCTCAGCCCTGGGGCGGGGCCGGCCCTGCAGGGAGGGTGCTCAGCACAGGGTGACCCCAGCCCTTCCTGGGCAGAACGCTGGTCCGTGTGTCTGAGGACTGTGGACTGGGTAGATTCCAGCCTGCCAGTCACGAGCTGTGAGATCTCAAGGCTCAAGTTTGCCAGATTTCCCAAAATGATATTACAACAGATTCATAGCAAACTGAGACTTGAATTTCAGACACACAAATCAGTTTTTACTATAAGTCATATTGAAACACTATATGGGTCAGGTCTACATAAAAACTCATTTGTAAATTTATTTTGCTAGATGATGTTTAAGTATAGGCAAGTCCCATGAAATATCTGGAACATACTTATACTAAAAGGGAATTCACTATTTGTCTTAAATTCAAATTGAAGTAAGCATCCTGTATTTTACCTGGCAAGCCCCGATTCAGGGGTTTTTTAACCTCTTGTGCTGTCAGCTTTCCCGTCCATGAAAATGAGGAAAATAAATGATTAAACATGAGGATTAAATATGATTAAATACACACACACACACACACTCAGAACACACTATCTGATATCTTAGAGTCAAACCTCTTCTTCGAAGCCTGTTTAAGATGCTTAAGACCCATCAGAGATCCTCACACATAATCGTGCAAATACAGAGTGCGTCAAATAGCGGGAACCCCCGGCCAGATACACACACACACACACACACACACACACACACACACAATTGTCAGAGACTCATATTTTCTGATGATCACTGTGGAAACCAGGGCTTACTGACAGAAACACACCTGCAGACACACTGCAAGGAAACCCAGAGACCCCCGGCACTAAGGTGGGCAGGCCTGCTTCTCAGGACTGAAGGACGGGCCTCACAGGCAGTCCTGGTCTCACACACACACACACACAACTGCAGATGCATCAGCTGAAATTATCAATACACCTCACCCTCCCCAGTACCTTTCTCTCTGGCAGACACCCAGGCCCACCCTCAGCCTCGCCCGGACCCCTCCCCAGAGGCTGCCCCTCAAAACCTCGCGCCCCAAACGTGCTCCCAGCCCCCACCCGCAGTCACGCAGGCACACAGAACCACTGGAGGCGCAAAAGCTGTTTTCCACACGCACTCCTCATCTGTGAACCTTGCTCTGTGCCCTCAGTGAACCCCAAACTCACCCAGAGGGTCTCCCCGGCTCCCCACCCGTCACACTGCCCTCCGGACGCTCCCCAGAATCATGTTCCTATCTTCTGTGTGGCCAATTTCTTACCTGAGCCCTGAGACCGACTGACCTCTCTGGTGTGCAGGGCAAACCTGTGCCTCCCACCTCTTCCAGCAAACTGCAAAGTCCTGGGTACTCCCCTCCCGTCCCCCCCAAAACCTGGGGACCAGGACCCGGCCTCCCCTCCACCTGCCCTGGAGGGGACCCCCGCCTCCGGACACCCCAGCCTCCTGTGTCCCCTCCAGTCTCCCCTCCTCCCAGTGGCCAAACCATCGAATTCCTCGTGGCTCACGAGAGTCTGAGGACGCCCCCGACCTCAAGGTAGCCGAGGTTCATGAAGGGCGCGAAGCGCGCGCGCCCTGGGGTCTCGGGGCTCCCAGGCAGCAGCCCAGAGCACGCCCGCACTTCCTCCCGGGGCGCCCTAGCCCTCCCCGAGGGAATCCCGCAGCGCCCTCCCGCGCCCCCCGCCCCGATAGCGCAGACCCCTCGGAGCTGCGGCCGCGGAACTGACCTCCGGACCCGGGCTCGGGCTCGGCGTCTGGGCTGGAGAGCGCCGGCTTGCTCACGGCTGGTCCTGGGGGCCCGGGCAGGGCTGGCTCCGAAGAAGTCCAGGGGACCTGCGGGTACACTCTCGGGAATGAAGAGCGCTGAGCCGCTCAGCATCACTCACGACGCCCCACCTCCACCCCCCAACACAAGCAGGTGGTTAACAGCGGGCCTGCCGCCAGCACGGGCGTGTTGGTTTCACTTTAATGTTGGGGGCGGGGGTGGGGGGGGTGGTCCCGGGCTGCCTCCTCCTCACTGCTTAGAGAAACTGACACAGGGTGGCCTTGGGCGGGTTTTAGTGGAGGAGACTCAGTGGTGCAGGTGGTAAGGGTGAGGAGTGGTTCTAAACGCCTTTCTCGAATATGAGGAAACACGCACCCCACACACCTAGAAACACATGTGTGTAGCATGTACACTGGACCCAAACACAAAATATCTTTTACACACGGCATCACACTCACAGTAGTTCAAGATTTCCCTCCTTTTTCTAACCATTTTCACACCTTCACCGGTATTGATTTCAGTTTGCATTTATTCCAAGCGAGATGGGTCACTTTGGTGGTCAAAGGTGTCATGGCAAATTGCTTAGTCTTCCTGAACCATCCGCTCTGTCAGAGTTCCTGGACTTGGCATGAGAGCATCGCAAACTCTCCCTAAGATGTGGGTGTAGTGTGTCAACAAGCTCTTATTTACTCAAACAGGCTGCGGACTGGGTGGCCTTAATCGGCTCCCCCTTGACCTAGAGAATCTTCTGTGCCAGTTCCTAGAGCAGACGAAGCCAAGGTGCTCTCTGGCAAATGGGCAGTTAGGGCAGCAATCTGAAAGGATACACTTTGTGGGTTTTCCTTAAAAATAAGAAATACTCTATGAAGATACGAATCCTGAGAATTGAAACAGTCTAATATGAATGGAGAAGGAAATGGCAACTCACTCCAGTACTCTTGCCTGGAGAATCCCATGGATGGAGGAGCCTGGTGGGCTACAGTCCATGGGGTCACAAAGAGTCGGACACGACTGGGCGACTTCACTTCCCTTCACTCCAACATGAAAGGAGCCACTGGGTCTTCATTATGTACAAAACTTGAAATAACCTTTAAAGACAGCACTCAGGAGCCTCGGGTGTCTCTCCTGTATTAGGGGTCATATTAATCCGTCTTTCATAGGACTCGGTAGTCGTTACATGAGATCATCTATACAAAGTGCTCACACCACGCCTGACAGGTCGAAGTTGCCCAGGAAATACTTGGTAAACCCGTGACTCTCACGTTCTTTTCTAATAAGATTTTCTAAGGAGTCCTCCCCGGGACTGCGGCAGGCACTAATAGGAAAGCCGTTCTCGCGGGCGTCTGACCCAGGGCCTCCCCTGACCCCTCCCCACGGGCCCCGCTGGTTCTCACCAGGGTCCCTCCAGCCTCCCCTCCTGCCTGTTAAGACGCCCAGAGACAGAGCCGACGCCTCATTGGCCAAGGGCGAGTCACGTGCCAGCCCAGGACCAATCACAGGGAACCTTGGCACGGCCGGCTCTGATTGGTCAGGGGCGTACCTGGCGCTGGTCTGAGGATCGGATCAGATCCACCCAAAGTGCTTAGAGACACGGGGTCCCCCCAGAAAAGTCCAGGGGGTTAGTAGGAGAAGGAGGACTGGTACCCAGAGGGACAAGGCCGCAGCTGCCTCCACAGGAGGGACCGTTCCCTAATTCATTGCTTCATTTAATCAGCCCGAGCGTATACAGAGCAGGACGCTGGTTACATCTGTGCTAGGCACGGAATGAATCATTGAGCAACAGAGGAGGGCCCTGCCCCCACAGAACTACTCTAGTAGGGGAGACAGATGATGAACACATAGACAGAAGATATGCTGTCAAGTAGCAATAATTACTCTGAAAAAAAGTTCAGTGAGGCAGTGGATTGGAGAGAAATGGCACGAAAGTGAGCAAGGGAGGCTTCATGGAGGAGGTGACACTGAAGCAGAAGTTGGAATTAGCAAAGAGAAGGAGGCAGAGAGACGGGCAAAATATTCAAGGAAGACCAGTCCCCACGGGATGGGGCCACATCGGAACAAGGCAGGGGCAACGGGCACCCTTGGGGCACCCAAGGGTCTCTGGTGGGCAGAGAGGGTGGCTAATCCACGTGATAACTCAGCCCAGGGGCCTCCGGTGAAAAGGGAGGAAGCAAGCAGGCTTACCACAGGGCAGAACGGCAGGACTCTGAAGGACACAGTTCCCTTCATTCTCTTGGACTTCTTTCGAGGAACATCAGCCTTCACAGAAAGCAAGACTGAGGAAGGAGAAAAGAGTCATGAGACTATCTGACCCTATGAGGCTTGAGAAACTCAGTCATAATACAGTCTTCATCATGAAACCAGTAACAAGATCTAATACGTGCGGAGTATGTTGCGGACGTACTTTTAAGTACTGTGCACGCATTCGTTTATGTGGTTCTTCATAATAACTCTCTTCATAATAACTCCCAAGTATACTGAAGTGGGTTGCCATTTCCTTCTCCAGGGGATCTTCCCGACCCAGGGATCAAACCCTGGTCTCCCATGTTGAGGGCGGACTCTTTATTGACTGAGCCACCAGGGAAGCCAATAACTCTCTGAGATGGGTATTATCATCAACCCACTTTAGAGATGAGCCAACTGAGGCACAGAGAGGTGGGGACACTTGTTGGAGGTCGCCCAGGAGTGAGTGAGGCCTGCATTCAATTGTATCCCAAAGGCCCCCAGGGAACAGACCGGAAGTGTCAGGGAGGGGAGGGGCTGGGGTAAGAAAACAGGGGTGTCCAGGCACCCCTGAAAAGGGGCCCAAACGGGCTCAGCTCCCAGGAGCTCCCTGCAGGCTCTGCGCGGGGCAGTGACAGGACCCAGTGATGGGAGGTGATGGCAGGGAGGCTGCATCTTGGGTGTGCCTGCCCGGAAGAGCCAGTGGAGACATGGCCAATCTTCAGGATCATTGCTTCCCCATCGCCTGTGCCCTGGAGACCTCTCCACTCCCGCCTGCCCACAGTTTTCTGGGTCTCACCTCCTTTCTCCGGCGGCTTGGTCTGCACCTCCTCAGGTTCCTGGCCCCCAATGGTGCTCAGAGGCAGCATGGTGACTCCACAGGTGCTCCCTGCAGATGGGAGACAGTCAGTGCCTGGGCGGTGGAGCCAGGGGCCTGGGTGTGGCTCTCAGAGGTCAGGTGGACTCAGACAGCTCCATCCCCTCCCCACGTCTCCAGGTCCCCAACATCCAAGGGGACGTGTTGGCAATGCCTCCCTCCTGGTTTCTTCCAAGGCTCAGTGTGGGCTCCTCACCTCTGCCCCAGCATCACCTTGGGTGGGACTTGGCCAGTATGTCTGGGGTGAGACCTGGGGGATTTCAGCCTGCCAGTCAGTAGCTGGGGATCTCAAGATTTAACAACAGCAACAAGAAAGACAGCACACTGAGATTTGAGCTTCAGACACAGATTTTTTTTTTTTTTTTTTTTTAGTATAAGCCATATCCAAACACTACATGGGTCGTGTCTACTAAAAACTAATTTTTTATTTATTTGGCTAAATGATGTTTAAGTATATGTAAGTCCCATGATATATTTGGAGCATACTTATACCAGAAGATAATTCGTTATTTATCGGACATTCATATTTAAACAGGTGCACTGTATTCTACCTGCAGGTCCTGATTCGGGCATTATTTAACCTGCAGTGCTGTCAGCTTTCCCCTCATGAAAATGAGGACTATAAATGATTAAACATGAAAATTAAATGTAATTAAATGCACACACATACTCAGAACACTCTGGTAACTGAGAGTCAAACCTCTTCCTTTAAGCCTTTTTAAGAATCCTTTGACCCACCGCAAACCCTCACACATTAATTGTGCAAATGCAAGGTGCGTCAAATGGTGGGAACACTCAACCAGTTACACACGCACAGGATTGTTAGTAACGCACACTTTCAGATACAGACTGCGGAAGCCAGGGCATAAGGACACAAACACACCTGCAGACAAGTCCAGGGAAATTCAGAGACCCCCACCACACAGCGGGGCAGGACACACACACACACACACCCCTCCAGACAGGCACAAAGGCAGACCCACAGACTGAAATGACCCCTCACCCTCCCCAGTACCCTTTCCCTCTGGCGGACACCCAGGCTCACCCACAGCCTCGCCCGGGCCCCTCCCCCAGAGGCTGCCCCTCAAAACCGCGCGCCCCAAAAGTGCTCCCAGCCCCCACCCGCAGCCACGCAGGCGCACAGAACCACTGGAGGCGCAAAAGCTGTTTTCCACGCGCACTCCTCATCTGCGAGCCTCTGATGAGTCTCAGCGCACCTGCAAACACGTCCAGAGGGTCTCCTCTGCTCCCTGCCCCTCAAAGTGCCCCCCGGACTCCCCAGAACATGCCCATGGCATGACTTCCCGTGCTCTGCTTGGCCCATTTGCTCGCTGACCCCTGACACCCCGCTGGCTTCCCAGGTTGGGAGCAGCCCCCGGACCTCCGCCTCCCCCATCAAACCGCAAAGTCCCCGGGTCCGCCCCCTCCCGCCCCTAAAACCTGGGGACCAGGACCCGGCCCCCCCCAAGCCTGTCCTGGAGGGGGTTCCCGCCATCCCCGCCTCCGGACACTCCACTCCGGGGGAACCCACTCCTCTGTACCCTCCAGGATTCGCTCCTCCCAGTGGCCCCAGAAATCCTGGGGCCCGGAGTTGCCCAGGGGCTCAAAGGATCCGAGGGTCTCGGTCGCCCTCAGGGGAGACCCGGGTTCCTGCAGGGCCCCCACCGCGCGCCCCCTGGGTATCGGGGCCCCCAGGCAGCAGCCCCCGCGCCCGCACCTCCTCCGGGGGGGGGCCTGCCCTCCCCGCGGGGACCCCCCCCCCCCGCCCGCGCTCCCCGCCCCGCGCGGTGCCCCCGCCCTGCGGGCACAGACCCCGCGGAGCGGCGGCCGCGGGACTGACCTCGGGACCTGCTTCGGTCTGGGCCGCTGGGCAGGGCAGGCGGGCTGGCTCCGCGCGCGTCCTTGGAGCCTGAGCAGAGCCGGCTCCGGAGACGCTCGGGGACGCGGTGGACAAACGCGCGCGAATGAACAGCGCTGAGCCGCTCGGCGTCACGCACAAGCCCCAAGCCCGCCCCCAAGGCCGAGTCAGGTGGTTCAAACCGCCTCTGACACCAGCACCCGCGTCAGAAGGCTCGCGGCAACTTGGTTATTAGCGGGGAGGGTCGGGGGCCTCTGTGTCTGGGTTCGTTAGAGAAACCGAAATAGGAGGTCGTGATGGGCAGGTCTTAAGGGGACGAGAATGACCTTGTGCAGGTCACAAGAGCAAGTCAGTCAGTTCAGTCACTCAGTCGTCTCCAACCCTTTTGAGATCCCCGTGCACTGCAGCACGCTAGGCTTCCCTGTCCATCACCAACTCCTGGAACTTGTCCAAATTCATGTCCATCAAGTCGGTGATGCCATCCAACCATCTCATCCTCTGTCTCTCCCTTCTCTTCCTGCCTTCAATCTTTCCCAGCATCTTTCCAATGAGCCGGCTCTTTGCATCAGGTGGCCAAAGTACTGAAGCTTCAGCTTCAGCATCAGTCCTTCCAGTGAACACCCAGGACTGATCTCCTTTAGGATGGACTGGTTGGATCTCCTTGCTGTCCAAGGGACTCTCAGTCTTCTCCAACACCACAGTTCAAAAGCATCCATTCTTCGGCGCTCAGCTTTCTTTATGGTCCAACTCTCACATCCATACATGACTACTGGAAAAACCACAGCCTTGACTATTCGGACCTTTGTTGACAAAGTCATGTCTCTGCTTTTTAATATGCTGTCTAGGTTGGTCATAGCTTTTCATCCAAGGAGCAAGCATCTTTTAATTTCATGGCTGCACTGACTATCTGCAGTGATTTTAGAGCCCAAGAAAGCAGTCTGTCACTGTTTCCACTGTTTCCCCATCTATTTGCCATGAAGTGATGGGACCGGACGCCATTATCTTCGTTTTTTGCATGTTGACTTTTAAGCCAGCTTTTTCACTCTCCTCTTCCACTTTCATCTAGAGGCTCTGTAGTTCCTCTTTGCTTTCTGTCATAAGGGTGTTGTTATCTGCATATCTGAGGTTATTGATATTTCTCCCGGCAATCTTGATTTCAGCTTGTGCTTCATCCAGCCTGGCATTTCGCATGATGTAGTCTGCATATAAATTAATGAAGCAGAGTGGCAATATACAGCCTTGATGTACTCCTTTCCCAGTTTTGAACCAGTTCATTTTCCCATGTCTTGTTCTAACTATTGCTTCTTGACCTGCATACAGATTTTTCAGGAGGCATGTCAGGTGGTCTGGTATTCCCATCTCTTGAAGAATTTTCCACAGTTTGTTGTGATCCACACAGTCAAGGGCTTTAGCATAGTCAATGAAGCAGAAATAGATATTTTTCTGGAATTCTCTTGCTTTCTCTATGATCCAACAGATGTCAGCGATTTGATCTCTGGTTCCTCTGCCTTTTCTGAATCCAGCTTGAACATCTGGAAGTTCTCCATTCATGTAATGTTGAAGCCTAACTTGGAGAATTTTGAGCATTACTTTGCTAGTGTGTGAGTTGAATGCAGTTGTGTGGTAGTTTGAACATTCTTTGGCATTTCCTTTCTTTGGGATTGGAATGGAAACTGACCTTTTCCAGTCCTGTGGCCACTGCTGAGTTTCCCAAATTTGCTGGCATATTGAGTGCAGCTCTTTCCCAGCATCATCTTTTAGGATTTGAAACAGCTCAGTAAGAGTAAGTAGTGGTTCTAAACTTGTGCTTAGATTGGGAAGAAATGCCACACAGGTAGAAACACATCTGTGTGTTAATAGCATGTGCATTGGACTCAAACACAAAATATCTTTTACAGTGTGCATCGCAGTCACAGTAGTTCAAGGGTTTCCCTCCTATTCTAACTGTTCTCACACCCTCACCCATACTGATTTCAGTTTGACCTCTAATCAGCTCGGGGTCAGTCATCATTTTCGGCAAGGGTGTGTGGCAGGTATTTTAGAATCCTGGGCCATCAGGCCATTGCAGCTGCTCCTCTTTTGCATGAAAGCATCCCAGACAGCACCTAAAGATGGGTGTGGCTGTGTCAACACACCCTTATTTACACAAACAGGCTCTGGGCTGGATGGTCATAGTCTGCCCACCTCTGGCCTGGAGAATTTTCTGTACCAGCTCCTGCAGTACATAAAGCCAAGCTGCTCTCTGGCAAAGGGGCAGTTTGCAAAGAAAAGTGAACAGATAAACTGCTTTAAAGAAAGAGATATTTTATGAAAATTTG